TTTTTTTTTTTTGTGTGTGTGTGTGTGCGTGTGTGTGTGCGTGTATGCGTGCGTGTGTGTGTGCGTGTGTGTGTGGGAGAGAGAGAGAGAGACAAATCAAGATCCTAGGATTGGTTCAAGATCCCAAGATCTTGATTTGATTGATTGGTTGTGATTGATTGATTGATTGATTGGATGATTGATTGATTGATTGATTGATTAATTGATTGGATTTTTTTTTTCGTTGTTGTGTCTCAGGCATCTGCGGGCGCATCCGGCGCACAAGCGTTTACGGCGACGCGAGCGACCGGCGATGACTGCGGCACCTCGTGCAAGCGACATCGTCGTCCGCGCGGCGTTGAATTGGTCCGCGCGGCGGCGGACGAGGCCACGTTTTCGGACGGCTGCGTGGTCGGAGGTCTAGTTTCGGGGGGGGGGGGGGGGGGGGGGGGGGGGGGGGGGGGGGGGGGGGGGGGGGGGGGGGGGGGGAGGGGGTGGTTGGAGGGGGTTTGCAAACGGGGTTTACGGACGTCGACGTCCAAAAGGACGGGTGGTGACGGCGGTTCGGGGGGCAATAACTTCGTTCCTGGGAGCGACGTGCAGATGGCCGAGCAGCGCAAGAAGTCGAGAGTGTGGCGTCATGTGACGCAGGGTCAGAGGTTGGGAACATGGGAGAAGAGGCATTGGGACTATAAGCTGCGCTGCAATTATTGCAAGCATGTCTGGCAGGGGAATTTGTTCAAGGCACAACGCCACTTCACGCAGTTGAAGAGGTGCTCGGCGGCGACGATGGACGTGTTCGTTGACCTTTGGAACCACACAGATTACGAGTTCGAGAAGCGACATCACCGCGGTATCGTGGCTTACATGAGGGAGCACAATGTCGTGGATAGACGAGCTGTGGACGTCCAGCGAGGCAGTGGCAGGGGGAGGACGGGAGCGTTGCAGTCGCAAGCAAAGGAGCTCGATCCTGTGGATGAGGTGGAGAGGTTCCTGGACGAGGAGGCCAGGCGAGCAGAGGCTGCAGAGGGTAGAAAGACAGCTAGAGCATAGGATTTAGCGGGGGAGGAGGTGGTCCTGACTGCGCGAGGGAGAAGCGCCGCTCACCATCATGAGGGGGACGCATCAGGCCCATCGGGGAAGAGGCCGGTGGGCAGTGGAGTTGAGGGCATGCCGCAGGCGCACAAGAGACAGCGGCAGTCCACTCTGGATGAGGTGTACGATCCAGATGGGCAGGCCGCATTTAGGGACATCTTTTTGCAGTGGGCCTACGACAGTAGTATACCCTTTGCTGCTTTCAGGAGGCAGTCATGGTATAGGCACAAGAAGGTGTTGGCCGCCATGTCTCGCGGAGTGCGGCATGTCTATCCGTCCTTCAAGGACATTGGGGGCGGTGGTTCGATGATCAGCGGGGGAAGGTTGCCGCGATGTTGAGGGAGATCCGTGCTTCGTTCGAGTCGGTGGGGGCCACCATTTTGTTGGACGGTAGGCAATCGCGAGATGCGAGGCCTATCATCAACTTCCTTGCGGGCGCCAAGCTCGGCGCCCTGTTGTACGCCACCATCCAGCGAGACGGTTCAGTGGCCGAGACGGCACGTATCGTCCTGAGGAGATGGAAGGCCATTTTTCGGTATTTCCCTCCGAAGGACGTGTTGGCCATTTGCACGGACTCTGCGTCGAACTATACGTCCGCCGCAAAGCTCCTTGCAAAGGACCCCGATCCGGAGATCCACCGTATCACTTGGTTCCCCTGTGCCACCCACGTAGACAACTTGATGTTGTCTGACATCGGCACATGGGTTCCTTGGGTTACGGAGACCATTGTGAGAGCTCGATCGTTGGTGCGATTCATTAAATCGCACGGCGCGGCTTATCACCTTTTCAGGGTGAAGAGTCGTCGCCGCACGCTTGTGCACCCTGTGGAGACACGATTCGTGTCCTTTTTTTTTATGTTTGTGTGTTTGCTCGCTAGGCGTAACGCCTTGGAGAGCATGCTTCATGACGACGAGTGGGACAAGATCCCATGGGAGTCGTCGAAGCGTAGACAGGCTCTCTAGGTTCGGCAGGTCATCCGGTGCACCGATTTCTGGCGCAACGTTCAGTATGCTGTCTCTGTCATGACCCCTGTCCACGAGCTGTTGAGGAGATTAGACAGGGGCCGCATGATCATGTCCATGATGTACTCATGGTCGCAGGAGTTGGCGCGACAGGTGGCTGCTGTTGACGTCCCTGATGACATGCGGAGGTCGTGTGTGGAGGCGGTGCAGATCCGCACCATGCATATGCCTGAGCCGGCGCACGGTGCCGCGCACCTGCTCAACCCCCGCAGGCGCTCCCTCCGTTACTACGAGTCCGCCCGCAGGACTACGGACCTCGAGGTCGTTATCGAGTGCGACTCGTTTTTCTTGGCGCAGACAGGCGGTGATGCGGCGGGGGATGCATACTTGCGGGTGCGTCAGCAGATGCGATCGTTCCACTCTAGGGTCGGCCACATGATGGACAGGGTGACGAGGGACGCTGAGGCGGAGGCCTGTGCAGGGGACGAGGAGACGAGCAGGTGCGCGTCATGGTGGGTGGAGCACGGCGCATGCTTCTCGGACTTGCAGGAGATCGCTGGCCGTGTGATGCACATGTGGACGTCCGCCTGTCCTGCTGAGATGAATTGGGCAGAGCATGAGCGCATCCAGACGGCTAAGCGCAACAAGCTCAAGTTCAGGAAGGTCGCGCAGTTAGTTGAGATTGCTAGCAATCTCACACTACTTGGATGCAGCGACCACAGCGGGGGGTCCGTTCTTCCGTGGGGCCACATGGCGACCCTGGCTGAGGCGCGCCATGACAAGTACACACACGCCCCGATCGACGACAGGGATGAGGAGGAGGAGCCTGAGCCAGAGGAGTGGGGAGCCCGACCTCAGTCGGCAGTGGTTGTACACGAGGTTAGTGCACAGGTCCGTCGATTCCAGCAGCAGGGTTTTCGTCGTCCGGAGGCGCAGACGTCGGAGCAGGAGTCGGACTCGGAGGATTTGCCGCCTGGTGTAGATAAGAGTGTCGAGAGACTCTACTACACGTACTGTGCAGGACCGTACGGTTTTCAGTCACACTGCACTGTCATTCAGGAGAGCGACGACGATTCCTTTCCCGCTAGTGGGGGTGGTACTGGCGGGCCGACAAGACGTGCTGCACGCAGCGCGAGTGGAGGTGCTACAGGCAGGCCTAGTGGAGGGGCCACACACGACGAGGGAGGACGTACCTTAGTTAGGGCAGGTGCTGCATTACCTGCTCAGCCCACTGCTGAGAGAGAGAGGGAGCGGGAGAGGGCGACCTGCACGGACGACGACGGCGAGCCATTTGTCTTTCACAGAGCACACATGGCGAGCGACAGAGCTCCGTCCGCCACCGAGGGTCTTAGGAGATCAGTGCGGTTGCAGACGCTGGCCGACTCATCCACGGGCGCCAGACGCGAGGTGTCCGACCACCTGGATGACATTATAGCCGATGAGCATATGCCGAGCCAGCACACACCCGCCTCGGCACCTCCTGGACTCGGAC